TTTAAAAATAAAAAATAAAAAACAAGCCTTCTCTTATTGGCCGTGAAAGACGATGTTGCACTTTTTGGTGTTGGCGAATAGTCATTTTCGGTAGGTAGAAGTTTACTCGCAAACATAGATGAATAAGCAACACCTCGTGGTATATATGTACTTGAGCATGCTTCACCTGGTCGTTGACATTTTCTGCTCCGTTGGGCCGCTACAGCTGTGGTGGTCATTACCGGAGGCTTAATGATACGACGGAAGTGCTGGCTAGTGAGTTATAAAAAGACTCGGCCATCCATTAACCCCTCTCCCCCCGCCCTCCCCTTTTTTGCCTACCACATCTCCTTCCCTGGACTCTCACATTTCTCCTCCGTGTCCTTTGGATGACCCCCTTTAACATACGCAACGTGGTCACCTCCAGCTCTCCGGTTATCTCTTTGTGTCATTTCGCCCTGCACTCAGGGTGGACGTTAGTCACGGGTGGCTGGAGGGTGGCTGTGGTAGGTCTGGCGATTGCACCCGGCCGGCGCTGTTTAATAAAATATTGTTTCGGCTTTTCGTGCCCGCCACGAGATGGCTGTTAATTAGTGAATGGTTGGAGGGCGCTCACTGGTAGGTTCTACCTCAAGGGTAGTTGGAGGGCGCTGACTGGTAGGTTTTACCTCAAGGGTAGTTGGAGGCGTCCACTGGTAGGTCCTACTCTTGGAGTACTCCTGGGTGGTTGGAGGGCACCCGCTGGTACAAATGTATTTCCTACTTCTTTGCTGTCACTATTTTTTTTCCTGTGACGAGCTGAATCAACAAAACAACAGCAATAACGACGGCAGCTTCAATATTAAATGATAGCAACATACTCGGCGGCAGCAACAATAGCATCTGAAACATCAGACTGGGTAGTTAATGCTCTGGTGTGGTTTACCCCTTCTTTCCTATCAAACATATATCGTTCTTATTTCTCTCTTCCTTCGTTTATTTTTTTCTCCATTTTTTGTTTGTTACTCCCTTCTAATACCTCGAATCTTTTATACATCCAAATGTGTTTTAAATGCTGTAAAACTCGAACAAACACCACCACCAACCGCATCACTACGGGCAACGACGACAGCGCCGCAGAGGCAGTTTCATCAGTAACAACAGCAGCGTCAGAAACAGTAAAAAATTTGACAAGCGAAACTACATACATATTTATCATGCACAGTACATTCCTTTTATGTCTGTTGTGCCCGCCCTCGACCCGAGTCACGGTTTGTTACGTATTCTTTTGACCCCCTAATGAACTGTACTAACAAACTGATAGTGCTCTTTAAAAAAGTACTCCGCACAGACCGTCCCTATTTATAGTTTTCTTTATCGGGTACTGTTCCTGCTCTCTACCCTATCGGGGTTATTAATTTATCTTTCCAACTGATATGATATGCGTCTCATCTCGACTGACATAACCATTAATAATAGTAATGATTACATTAACATAACGCATGTGTATGCTCTGCAGCATCCTCTGTGTGATTTACAGCTACTATTACTCCCAGAAGACCCCGGAAGACTCAGAAATATCCTCGGTTTCCCACGGGAAGCATACAATGCAAGATACGGATTATAAGCCATCACGTACTAACAGACAAGATCTTCGCCGTCTATAGCTGGGTATCCATTCCCACCTGGATGAAGTGAGGAACATAATTCACTAAGATCACTTTCACAAGGATATACCAGCCTGCTCCTGGTGGGGTTTTAACTCACAACTTTTAGACTGTAATTCAAAAAGTTTAACCTCTTGACCATCGACGCCACATGAAAAAAGTACTTAAATTAATATTTTCTTGCTGCTTTGTTCTCACCGTGTAGATTTAAGTGGGTGGTGTGCGGGTGCTTTGGTGTGGTTTGCACCTTCTTTCCTATAAAGAATCTATCGTCCTTATCTCTCATCTTGCATTTCTTTATATTATTTTACTCTCACATAGCACCTCTAATCTTCGGCACCGATCTGGCATATTTTTGTTTGTAAGTGCCATAAAACTGTTGCTAATACTGAAACTAGATGTATATCCCGCCTTTAATGCTAGCAATGCTTTAATTCTACTCATTGCTTATTCTTCTCTGTCGGATCTATTCTTCAAATTACGTGGCAGACCGGTGCCTATGGTGTTGCGGTCAGGCGCTTCGTCGTCGCATGCAGAAGACGTGAATTCAATTTCCGATAATGGAAAAAAAGAGGGGGGTGGGGGTGGGCGTTATCAAGTATCCCCCGTTAATCTATTGAGGCATTGTATCCTTTTCGAAGCCTGAGTTGGCTCTGACAGGCAGAGTCGAGGCAGCCCGCCCTCTAAATGATCTAAATTGTGTCGATTGGGGCATAAAATTACAATTGCAATAACAGATTACAGTAGTCGGAAATATTACTTTCAATAGTCTTTAGACATTACTTTCAAAAGTCTTATAGAAACTGCTTTCAAAAGTATAGATAATATGGTCTGTGGAGCACGCGTTTTAGGGCTGGTTAATCGAAGGCTTGCAAAGCAGCGGACGGCTTGCGCTAGAGGCTTGCGAGCAGGCTTGTGATTTGATTTGCCTCCCGCTTGCTACCGGAGGGAACTTCCGGTGAGTTGTGACTCGCGGACAGTCCTGCTGTACTGTGTCGTGACGTCGCGAACTCTCTTGGCTGTGGGCTCAGTACATATTACAGAAGATTCTCTAGTTATTTGCGTTGAGAGGCTTGCACCAAAAGTGCAAGATCTGTTTTTTTTTTTTTCATAGTTCGGTTGTAAAAAACAAAAAGCTCTATTCAAAGAACTTAAAAATTAATATTGGATCGGCTATTCTTACGATGTTAAGGTCTGTTTATT